ATAATAAGAAAAAAATCTATTATGTAAAAGTAGAAAACAGACACTTCACATTTCAATTCTATGAGAGAATTGAGCAGTAAATATTGTAGAACAATATTGAAATCACAACTAGTATTGAATTTTAATTAGAGTCCTTGAATAGCTGTTTGCACTACATTAATATTATAGCCCCAAGTAGCGTCGTACACAAATACGTCTCGGAAAATATGTTGGCTGTGTTGTGCAAACTTGTAAAATGCTTTATAAAGCATTGTCATTATCGGGGCAACAAACAAGTGTAAAAGAACGCCAGATATCCTTGACAGTGGTTTAACTTCGAATGTGGAATGAAGGCTTGGCTTAATGCAATTTCGCTGTCGACAAATGCTTTAAGACTATGTCAACAACAACAACAACACTAGTAACAGTAATGCTAGCAATAGCAGCAATAGTGAAAATAATAACAACAACACTTCTAGCAAACGCCAATGAACTATTCACACAGACCTTCTAAAGCTTTTTACAAGCATTTCATCAATTCCGGAAGGTTATGGCAAAATATCCTTCAAAATGCGGAAGAAATCAATTGAGCGCAGCACGACATAAATGAGTTGCTAAGATATTTGTTTTTAAATAGGTATTTGGCATGAATTATTTTCGTAATGTATTTACGAAGACCTACAGTTCAGTTCATTTAAGATATGTTACTATACACATTGGTTATGTGGTATAATATGAAAAACAATGCCGAAGTGTACACGTGTTGGTTACCAATTTTGAGAAGTGATTGGATTTGTTTATCGTCAGATGTGAATATATTAGCTCTTTAGAAATTTAGTGAATATAATTTCAAATAATGAAGACATTTAGTTAATTGAAATTTATAAATATTTGAGCTTTTTGGTACACAACAACAATAAGTTTAGAGTTTAAGCAATAGATTAGAATAGATCTAAAGGTTGGGAACTTGTCACCACGTCACTGCATCCTTTGAGGGTTATTGTAAGAAACCCACTTCAGTTCCATAGACAAGTTTCTGTTTGAAATGTCACTATGTTCATTGTAGAGATGTTGCCTAATTCCATTATAAGTGGAAATATAAGTGCCTAGTTGATAAATATCGAAGTTTAAATTTAACGAGACTATCACAGTGACACAGAATGTGTTCTGCTGTTTCCTCTTCTTTCTAACAAAGTCCGCAGCTATCGCCTTTTGTCATACCTAGGTTCGATAGATGTTAGAGAGAAACCGTGAAAAACCCTGTAACGAGTCGGGTACCTTTTCTGTTCAGCATTAGAAACTCCTTAATTCTGGCTTTTGATCGATTCGGTGTGAATTCTTCAGCTTGTCTGCAGGCAATTACATTATCCCAATCAAGCTGAGCAATATAATATGACGTCGCCCCTTTTTTTGGCAAGTTCATCTGCTTTCTCGTTTCGCTGTAGTTCACTGCGTCCTGGGATCCGTATTAAGTGGACCCTGTTCCTTTCAACAAAATCTTTGAGAAATTGAAGGCATTTTCACACTAGTTTAAGTAATAAGTTTATAATCTAAATATTAATTTTTGATTAAAGCAATAATCTTCTGATTCGCTTTTTACTTTCCAAATAATATCATATTCAGATAATATCATGTTCAGATTTAAATGTAAACAAAATTATAATTTCAAACGCAGCTGAAGATCACCCATACTACGAACCACTTTATTCATCTACAATATAGGGTTTTTGATATAAACAATAACAGTTTTGATTTAGTCGATATAATTTTATATCGATATATAAAAATATGTTGATATTTCAACAGGCGTTCGAACAGTAGGCTTGATAAATCAGATATACTTGTTTATAGTACTGTTGAGCAGCGCTTATAAATCTTTTTTGTGCAAGTAGGCATACGAAATGATTGTTCAGGAAAAAATTGTAACAAAGTGTTGCACTATATACCGATGAAGCCCCGTATTTAGGCTTCAAAAACATTATAAGTAAAATAAAGAAGGTTCAAAAACATCGCTTGCAACTTAAAGTGTTCATCTTTGCGGGTTATTGAGTGGTGGCACGATTAACCACGCATACAAAAACAAAGAAAATCGTAATCTATCTGTCAATGCCGATCGGAGTAGAGCCTTGAACAACTATTTATTTTTCCATTTATGCATTAACATGAGTTGGATAGTTTTAGTTTCAACAACACTAGAGTATTATATATGCTATATTACCACAGAAAGTTATTGTTATTTGGCTGGAAATACAAGGTTCATGATAATTATAGTACTAAGAGAACTTCTCTAATTAAAATAACTAATCGAAATTAAAGAAAATAATAAAAAATATTTTCATATATTTCGAATTCAGTTCCTTTTATCAAAGCGGACTTTAAAAATCAGTTCAATAATTTTCAAAAAAAACATCTCAAAATCTATAGGTATATTTAAATATTTAGGAAACTTAAAAAATCTTTCAGTGTTTGGAGTACTTTCAACACATTCGGACTTTTGATACTAAAGAAACAACATAATATAATTTTTTGTATGGTTTCGTTTGATATAATTCTTATTCTCCACAATCTGGAATATAAGCCGTTCAAGGATATTTAGAAAGAAAAAACGTTCTATACAAAATTTTTTTACTTAAAATTTCAATTAGTGAAACCCATTGCATTAAGAATCTGCTTCAGTCCCAATTGCTTTTATCAATTTTGATTACAGCATTTGTCAATGTATTTTTAGATGTTATTTATCTAAATGTAAAATAATTGACATATTTATATATTAAATGTTACATATTTATAATTTAGTAGTTATGAGCTAATTTTACGGTAAATCAAGTTCGTGACAGTCTATTTAATAATACGGAAAATGTTATAACGTATTGACGTTAATTGCAATCCGTGCAGCACCTGAAACAGCCTCGTGCAACCAGCGTGTTATAGGAAACCACGCAAATACGAATCCATGGCTGGGATTCGGAAAAGGAGTGCAGAGCACATGACGCTTAGTTAATTACTGAAGACGACGAACATGTTTGCACCATTAGTTTTACAAGTGCAACACAACAGACTTTGCATAACATGCTGACATCACACCACACTGACACTACGAAAACTCGACTGTATGTGTCAGCACAGCTTCCGTTTCCGCTTCAAATGCAAAACGGGTTCACTTGATACACATCAATAAAATGCATTTACGGTGTTATTGCAAATAAAGTGTCCTGTGACAGGCTCCAGTGTACAGCTAGAAGTAGTTGAAACTTCCGTTGGCACTGAGGCACTTGCGTACTCTTTCAACCGTTCAATTTAACATAATATTTGCTTCAACAAGAATTTTTATTTTTAAATGCATTAAATGCATTCTTTTCCTTTTTTCACTTTTAACGTTCTGCACTGACCGTAACAGACCACGTTGCATTTCCCGTACCGCTTCGCTCGCCAGCAAATCACGCTCGGAACTGTTTTCTTGTGCTGAATGTTTGTGTTTCGAAACCCTACAAAACTTCTGGTACGTGAAGAAAATTGCTTTGCATATGGAAAACTAAAAAAGCGGAGAAAGGGTTAATGTTAGTCGACTTTGTAAGGTGTCGTTGTTTTTCAATTTCGTAGTTTTTTTATTAGAACTAAACACAGTGAAATAATTATTGGTCTCATATGTTAGCATTTGAGCGTAATTTGAGATTATTGAGTGCCAAAATAGAATAACAAGTCATTTGTAGTCAGCCTCAGCCTAAGTGATATTGTTAATGGATTTGCGATACCAATGGTTCTTATGTCAGTAATAAAATGCACAAAGGAAAATCCATTGTGGTATCAAAGCTCTAAGGCAATCTCCTACCCTCTAAAATGAATCGAAGAGCTATATTTACTTATATACGTTATCAATACATCATGAGCGTTTAACAGTATAATATAAATTTCGACGTAACAACTCAAAAAATTAATAACAAAATTATAAAATCTGTGCTTATATGGACGAATACACCAGGAAAGTTGTTGACTCGTTGCTGACCTGAAAAGTGTTATATCGTTTACTGTGCGATTATTCTAAGAAGACCGTAGAATAATTGAAGTGCATGTCTCCCTAATAAGTACCGTTCCATTTTTAAAATTTTTACTAGCCCTCTAGATGTTATCACCCAAAAAATCTGTGAGTGACGAAAGCGTTTTCGAAGATTTTAGAAGCAATTTCCTATTATGAAAGAAAAATGTTTAAATAATTCTGTTTTTATTTAACTAACTCTACCCTACGTGTGTAGGGTAGCCTTTGTGTAACAAAGGCTATACAGAGCAGAATCTCCTTACTACTCTCTTTTTTAAACTGGTACTTATGTGTACTAATACTGCGTAAAAGATTAATCGGAACCTTTTAATAATCTGTTTTAATGGTTTTGGAATTTTAAGGCGAAGGTATAAATAAAAAAATATTGGATTTGTAATTGACAGACTCGCCATTGGATTGACTGTATATGAGAGCTACTGTTTGACCAATAAATCACTTGACGGTTTTTTACGGTATTTGTGGCACTAGTTTTGAAAAAGATTAAAAGTAAAAAAAGTCAAGTACGGCTTTGGATCAGTTGGTTAAGGTGCGCTCATTCTGAGCTCCACATTTGGCAGGATCCGAGTTCGATTCCTGGTACTTGCAGTCTTAAAAAATAATTATTTAGTCTTTAACTTGTGACAAAAATATATCTGTCTTTCAAACCGAGATTTAAAAGACATTTAGGTCTGGAAGCTGGACTCCACACATTTTCTATTCTATTCAATACTCATATTAACAACGTTAATATTATCTATTATCTATTAGTTATTAAAAGAATAAATAATTAATTCTAACTAATAATTAGTAGTATCACATAAAAATGACAAATATGCATGGAAACAATTTTTGTTTAATGAATATATCATTTATAATAATTAATTAATTGCTGTGAAGATTTGAAAATTATAATTAGAAATAGAAAGTATAATTTATATAACCCAAAAAGTTTATTTAAAATTATTATTTTAATAATTTGTAACTCACTGATTCCAAAAAAAAAAAATATTTCATCAAAAAATATAAATATTGCGCATCACAAATTTTGATTTTCATTAAAACGATTACAGATTATATCCTCACAGGACCTTCAAGAATGGATATGTGGATTTTTAATCTAGTATTTGGTACCAATTTTTTAATCGTTTTCGTTGCTTAAAAAGTTTTTCTTTTTAATTCATCAGTTTTCGAAATTATAGTAGCCTACCCAGCATTAAGCATCGCCACCTCCAGTTGCACCGCGCGTTGTACACAAGTGCATGGTGTTATTTGAGAATTTGTTTGATTGATCATCACTACGAGGAGTCATGCCATCAGAACTTATTTGAAAATCCTCATCCTCATCATCGTCTTCTTCGAACATGGGCGGTTTGACAAGCTTCATAGCGTTTTCCATATGGAAAAGAACATTGTTCTTAGTAACGTCATCTGTCTTCATATCGCCCATTTGCATTTGATTACAAAATCGCTGAATATGTTCAAGAACCTCTCGCATTCCCATTTCAGAAGACTTATTGCTGATATTACCTATGATTTGATCTTCTGAGGAAGACTTATGTGGTTCCGCTTGCAAAGTTCTATTACTGCGACATGGACAAGTTTTTAACTTTAGATCAGTTTCATTGGTAACATTAGATTTATTACAAGACATATTTCCTCCTCCTCCTACTCCTCCTCCTCCTCCTCCTCCTCCAACTGCAACACCGCCACCACCGACGGCACCTCCTCCCTTTTCTGGTTTTAAATTCTGTGTCATCATAGCATGATGTTGGTAGAACATTTTGTCGTACTCCGACTTCATGCATAAGTAACGAAAATGACGTGAGTTCTCTTCACCATAGTGTATAACTTCTACACAAATAAATAAAAATTGTGGAATTTACATGCGTTATAATTGTGATTATTAAAATAATTATAAAATTGACTGCAATTCTAATTTACTTACTGTTATTCATGTCATTCTGCATTTTGTTAAGTGCCGCATTTGTTGCCTTGAGTTCCGTGGAAAAACGATCTATCTTGGCTGACAAGTCACGGAAGTTGCGATTGAAAACATCTGTGATGGATTTCTGTAGAAGAATGAATTATATTAATTTTTCAAAATATATAGCGTTGAATATTCACATTATTTACCGCAATGGCGCTTTCGACTGTCTGACGAATTAATTCAAAGAACTCCTCCGTATCATCATCCTTGTCCTCGTCATAATTAGCATTATTATTATGATGGTGGTTATGATGTACATGATGCTGCTCCTTCTTTTTTTCATTTTCATAATTTTTGTCGTAGACTTGATTAGCATACGATTTCTCCATACGTCCTGTTCTTTGCTTAACAAAAGAGTCACGTTTGTTATCAGGCATATCGTCCTTTTGTTGATATGATGGCTTCTCATTTGTAATTGGCTGGGGACGTCCCGTACGACGGCGGGTAGTCCCAATAACCGAGCTATTTGGCACAGGTGGTGCCCCACTAAGTTTATTGCATGCATTATAAGGTGAGTTGTTCATTATATAGCCATGTTCACGATCAATACGTGCAGTCTTTTGCACAACATTTACGTTTGCTTTAGCAGGGGGAATTTCATATTTGGTACCATATAATTCCTCAACGGATTTTCGAGTTTTCTGACGCACTACTGCCGGATTGCGCATTACGGGGTTTCGCTGTTTGTTCTGAATTTTTGCGAATTTTTTCCCAACCTATGTTTAACTAAAATATAAGTTAAATTTTAAAGGATACAAATTTTTAAAACGTTCGTTGAAAAATATTTATTTTTAATGACTTTTAAGAAAATTTGATTTCACAAATTAGTCATTTAATCATTGGCTACTTAAACATTTTATTAGAAAAATTGTTTGCAAGTTTAAAAGTAAGATTTAGCGGTTCTGAATCCAGTTCAGTGAACTACGCAAACGGAATAATGAACATAAATAATAAATGGGATTTTCAACAATAGAAACATGGCGAATAATAATCTGGAAATCTGTTGCTTTTGGATTTGGTTAAATGGAACCCTTAAAGTATTCCACCAAAATCTCAAATTTTTTATACTTTTTTAGTCCAAAGTATATTCGATTACTTAAGCGATGGGTGATTTTGGTTTTGCACTCTTAGCTATTGTTATTGCATTTTTCAATATGTTATGTTAGTCAAGTGATTAACTCCTTCATCTGGCAGTCTGTAAGAACAAATCTAAGGGCCGAATTATGTGTTGTAGATGTAGCAAATATAACAAATATAAACAGCAAAACGTAGAAAACGACATGTGCGTACAATGCATAACAACATAAAAACTCAAACAACACAAATTCAATCCGATCACCAAACGACGATAATTAGACGATATTCGTATGACTTGATTGAAGATTTTTCTTATGTTTACATCAAGAAACCAAAATTGAACTGGTAAATTGGTTTTGATCTCGACCCAAAAGAACGAAAAATATTATTTTCATAGGGTTAAATGGTTTAGATGATTTCTTACAGTACAACTAATGCTGCATGAATCGCTATTACAGTAATTGTTTAAAAGTACATGTCTCCTTTTGTTTTAATATTATGTTTTTACAATAATTAAAAATATATTTTTTAGTTGTTATACAACTAAAAGTAGGCCAATTACGCCATACTTTAATGATTCTATTTCAGTTACACATTCTTAATCTACATATGGCTAGGACATATGGTTTGTTTGCTGTTAAATACTTAGAAGAAAAAATCTATTAATGTAATATTATCCTTTTTTCAATATAAGGACACTTAAACGTTTGATGAATAATGTCTTAGTAATATTCGTTGTTAAATGAAATCATTGTTAAACGAAATCCAATCTTCCGTGAATTTAAATTCGTTTAAATTAGTATTTTGATAGTTAGAGATACTACATAAATCAACAATATTAATACTGCAAATACTTAATACTACATTAAATAAATTTTCTCGTATAATGAAAATACATTAAACGTGTTATCTTTAAACACAAACACTTTTCGAGATGCCTTCATTCCATTAGATGTAACGTAAGGCCCAGAAAGCATATTTTGAACGCTATGTGAAGCACACTTAAGCTATACAAGCGCTTAGAGCGCGATACATAGTACATAACATAGATAAATTATTCATGAATATTTATGAGATAACAAATTATTCCCACATGTCTGGCAAACACGTCCAAGAAGTATCATTGGGATTAATTTTGATAAATTTGATTTTTATTGGATAGATATTGTTTATTTTTATAATAAAGAAATATGTACTTACCGAAATCGGTGAGTCGTAGAGTTACTGAATGAAGCCAATTTTAAATGAGTTTCAGAGTTTAAGTATATAATTAATGTACTCTAAAATTTATTTTGAAATACACTGCTTTTTAAAAAAAGGTTGTAGTTTAAAAAATATGACATTCAAAAAATTTTTTAGAATCCTCAGTTTTATTCTAAATAGATTCTGTTACTTATTCATTCCAATAGTGAAAAAATATTTAATATATCTCAATTATTACTATTGCAATTTTATATCTTATTAAGATTGATGGAGAGAGAAGAGTGGATTTATTTTAGCTACCAAATGTGTGGAAGCTTGACTTACATTTGCCTAATGATTGGAAAAAATATAATATATTATTTTTATTAATATGAATTAATGAGAATTCTAACTTCGGAAATATTAAATATATGTCTAATACGAAAACATATGTTAATTTTCACCTAATTTGTGTTTTCCGATTATTCTTCTCCGTGCAGTTGAGGTGCTGATTTATCTATACGAGGATCTCTGTTTATAACCAATTCTTAAATACATTTTGTATGAAATTACAAACACAACTACCTTACTTGCAAAATGCATTTTATATTTTATTTTTTAAAAATAAAAGTTAATTCTGATTTTTATATTTTTAAGACAAAAATAACAGTTATTTGTGCGTTTTAAAATAAAAAGCAGATTGCACGAGTTATTTGTGTATGGAAAAATAAAAGGCGTATTATAATAATTATTTCTGAAAATAATAATATAAAGCAAATACAATTATTATTTTATTACTTTTATTTTAAAACGCTCATATATATAAAGCATGCAACTTTTTATTGCTGCTTTTTTTCTTAAAAATTTTTGAAATAACTGGTATTTTAAGTCCCTGCATTTATATTCTATACCGAAATTGATCTGTTTTGATGTAATTTGTACTGTAGTACTCTAATAAAGAGGACCTCTTTGTTGAGTTAAATATGTTAAATAATTTATTTTGATATATTTTTTTGAGATTAATATCTTCAATCCACAAGTTTAAACACTGTGTTTTAACATAATGAAGTTATCCAAAAAATGATTAAAAATCTTAAAAAAAAATATATTTAAATCATCTTATAGGCACTAAATGAGAAGATATTAAACGAATTAAGAACTGGTTTTTGACTGAAGAATTCTTTTTAGTAAACTGTGTGAAACTGTATCTCAGTAACTATTGTAACTAGATGCTTTGAACCAAGAAACCACGTTTTGCATTTATGCCACTCATTTGGGAAACATCCCGCATATATATATATGTTAGGGTGTCCCTTATTTTTCAAAGTTTTAAATTTCTAACGCATAGGTCTAAGTTTTGTTCATTTGCCGGTGCGTATTCGCGACATTTGTCATTTGTTCTCAATTATTCTCAATTATTTTCGCGATTAACACGTATTGTTTTACATTAAAAAGATGGCAGTGGAATTAAGAAGCAATCAAAAACGTGTTTTCTTAGTAGGTCACGTAAATGATCAAATAACAGGCGCAAAGTTACCGTCTAATCGTCAGGAAGGAAAAACTTTATCCCGCCTAAGTTAGTTGTAGCTTTACATTGATGTCAATAAAGCATAAGGGATTCTGTCTATATACTTCAGGTTGTAATAGAAGCCCAAGATCTTAGGTGTGATGATTTTCCGATAAACAAATTGTTTATTCAACGTATTTGTACACATAGTCAAAAAAGTTAGAGGCGCATCTATAAATTAGATTTTCAGAATAAGTTGCCTGATGGTGACCTGGACTTGACGTTGAAAAGTTCTACGAAGAACGCGGGTGGTCCCACTGCCAATTCTAATTTCATTTGGAGAAAAGGAACAACTTCTAGCTGTACCCAAACTAGAGTTCTTTCGGCCAGGACTAAGCTGAAGCTGTGTTGAACAAGGTGACTGGAACCTTGATGACAAAGTACAAACAATGTGCTGTGACACAACTGCGTCTAATACAGGACAATTGAAAGGAGCTTGTCGTACTTTTTTGGAAACAAGACTTTCAGGGATATAACCTAAACTTCTTTGCTTACCGGCCATTCACGTTACGAACTGCGTTTTGTAGTGTTCAACCCAAATAATCCACCCAAGTCCAAAGTAGCACCAATATCCTACTGTTCAAAAAGTTTAGAGAAAACTGGAAAACTATTAATCCTGCTACCATTGAAACATATGCCGATAGAATAGATAAAATTTACAATAAAAGATATAGACAATATGAGATTTTATAATCAAGAACTGCAAAAAACCATTGGACGTGACGATTATCGGG